AAGTAGTTTCTGTACTCCAAAATGTACTTAAAGTTTATATCGTTTTATGTGTTGTTTTTGTTGCGGTATTTATCCGTAGTATTGATTTGTTTGACGGAAATGTGTTTTAAACGTGTATTTCGTTATCGAATGGCTTCACAGAAAAGGGCCGACGAGTCGAGTGATAGCGATAACAACGACGAGACTGTTAGACACAATCGGATCCAATCGAGTGGTGATAATCCCGGAGATAATGGCGATGAGGATTGGGTCACATTTGCTGACGGAAAGAGACAAATCGGTATAATTCATATGAATGTCATTTTATTTAATAAAAATTACAAGTTATTTAAATAATGAGTTAATTACCATGTTAATATAAAAATTCTAAACGCTAATTTATATAATGACCACTTGTAATTTAATAATAGGCTTCTATCTTTACCCGGGATAAGTTAAATAGCTTTTGAACTGATAATCCAATCTCTAATCGGGTTTCACCAAATTGTAGCTGGATAATGTCGAAATCTATCGGTATACTATTTGCCATATTAATCACCAGGATATAATTTTAAATTGAATTAATATTAATATTTAATAACACATGTTATTCAATGGATACAAAAATAATACAATGACTAGAATTATAGAAATTTTTGATTATTACACAATATTGAAATAATAGAATATTACAAATAATTAATAACTGGTATGACCGCCCTGTGCTCTCACCACCTCTGCCATCCGTCGGGGCATTGAATTTAATAATTCAATAAAATATTGTCGCCATTGGACCTGTTTCATGGTCTCATGAGCTCGAACCACAGCCTCCCATAACTGATCTTTAGAGTCGATGACCAGGCGCTCATTACGGACCAACTGCTTAATCATTGCGCCAACATTCTCACAATCATTTAGGTCAGGGCTAAGACTATATAAAATTATTAATATAAAAAATTAACTAGATAATTTCACTATAATTACCCAGGATGTGGAAAAACAAAATTCTCAAAGTCGCCGATATTCTCACTGATCCAATCTTTGACATGATTTGAATTATGGACCGGATGATTGTCATGCAACAGATGCACATTGCCGTCATCAAAATGAAGATCAATTTCCGAAAGGATCGAGTTTTCCAAGAAATCTGCATACGACTCCTTAGTCAACCGGTTGAGGCGATATACCGGTCCCATTCCATGAAAACTGAAACTAAATTAAAATTTTTTAATATGATTTAAGTTAATAATTCATTTTAAATATATTACCTCGCGATAAATGAAAGATTGAATCGTCGGGTTCTCTGAATTAAACGAATATTGCGCTCATCATAACGGGTGCCCCTGGTCCTCCAGACCCAAACTCGACCCGAATCTCCAGTAGAGATACTGAACTCATCGATGAATATAACGCGAGACCAATCAACTAGATCCCAATTCAGGAACTGTTCCGCATAAATGAGTCGCCTTTCCATATGAAAAGCCCGGAGTCTTTCCTTAATGGCCGCAACACAATGTTGGACCCCTATTGGTAAAATAATACATTATAAATAACTATGATTTAGTATGTAAAAATTAGTGCCTTGGTCTCTTAAGCGCAATCTAAGGGTTCGATCACTAGTTGATGCAATGTTTGCATTCCCTTGAATTGCCGGCAATTGTCTCAATTCATTCATATGAGACCATTGGTTGTTAAGTGCGGCGTCTCGTAAGACCTGATCATCTTCGAGGGTTGTCTTCTTATCGTGTCCACCAACTCGTGGAACAGTTATGAACAGCTCCTCCTCGTCATCTATTCGGCACCATTCATAATAAGTCGGTTTACTAATGCCTTAATAAAAAAATTAGTAAATTTTCAATAAATGTATAAAAATATTAATTACCAATTGTTCTTTGGATTTCCCGTTTTGTGGATCCCTTTGCTCTCATTTTAATAAATTTTCGAAAATTGAATTCTCGTTCAGTAACTGAGAAAACCATTGTTGAATACAATTACTTTAAATTTGGCTTGCATAATAATTATGTTTGGCTTTGAAAAATATACATAGTCATTGAACCTAAAATAATACAGATCGGAACCGGAAATAATTTTAATTTAAAACTATTATAAATATTTAAAAATAAAAATTTGTCAACTGTATTCCAATTTAATAAAAATAAAACTTATTCTGCATTATTTAAACATTTGAAGTATTATTTATAATTTTTATTTTAATCCACTTCTAATTAGTAAAAATTAATTTCACTAGTTTAATATTTATATTTGAAAATTACTATTTATTTATCAATTCATATAATATACCAATTATATTATACTGTATAAATAGAAAATGTTAAGTGCCCTTTAATTAATAATTAAACTCATTATTAAACTTCTATAATATTATTAAGTTTAATAAATTTACAGTTTATTATTACATTAATTAAAATCATAGCCATGGACTATCCAACATGTATCATATATTTACTGTATTTATTAAATGATGTAGATATTTTTAAAAACTTAATCAAAAATGCTAAATCATTAACACGTGACAACCCTGGTATGAAACCTAAACGTCTCCTCGACCACCAGTTCCCTGAGCACCTCCTTTGACAGGTCGTCCGACTCCATCTCAAACGTGAAGGGCTGGTCGACTACCGGCTCATCCCTGATATCGTAGTACTCACGGAGGTATGGGTGGGCCAGTGCCTCGTCCACCGTAATCCTATGCAAGGGATTAAATGTCAACATCCGGTCCAATAGATCCAAGGCATCGGGATCAGCATCAGGATACTTTTGTGCCCAGGGCACCTTAACCCGGAACGGTAGGGATTGTATGTACGCTCGACTTCTCGGGTTGATTATGAAGTTCAAGTTATCGGCTGATGGCGAGCCCAGTACGTCCAGTATGCGATTCAAATGATCCAGATAATTTACGGCTATTAGATTTATGTAGAAGTAAATAAAAGTTTTAATTTCCATAAAAGTTTGAGAATGCACAATTATTACAAATCTAATTTTATATAATGTTTGTTTATTATGTGTATCGGGTATGCAATGCATACACATAAACTCAACTATAACATGACTTTATTTACTGTATTACTATAAAGTACAGTCATAATATATTATAAAAGGTTTATGCATGTTATTTTTACACATGAAATTGTATTCTTTTAAATTATTTTTTAAAATAATATAATTTATAATTTTATATGCTTTGTAAATATTTTAAAAAGTGATGGCAACTGATTAAAATACCTGGAAATAGGGGCCGATTGTCGAGCATCTCGGCTAATATACAGCCGAACGCCCAAATGTCAATGGCTTTGGTGTAGGCCTTACTGTTGAGCATAATCTCCGGCGCTCTATACCATCGAGTGGTCACGTATTCAGTTAGGCTACGGGTCTGTTCGTAGTGGGGGTCCGACACCCGGGCCATCCCGAAGTCACAGATTTTCAAATCACACGTATTGTTCACTAATATATTGCTGGGCTTGAGGTCCCGGTGCAGTACGTTAGCCGAGTGTACGTACTTTAATCCACGCAATATTTGATATAGGAAATAGCATACGTGCACTTTGGGCAGCCTAGTTGTATGGATATAAACATTATAAATTGGGATTTCACGTGAGAATACCTATTATGCAATCGGGATTTGATAATTTTTATTATGGGAATCATATACACGCACCAATTATTTAATTTGTAATAGTTTGTAATTTAATCTAATTTATGAAAATTTAATATCATTTTGTAGATTTTATTTTATTTTCTATAATGAAAATACCATGGTCAATTCATCAAATCACTAGTGTCTACATTATAATAATAATATTGTATATTCATACCTAGTATGCTCTAGTAGTTTATGTAAGTCGGTATCCATAAGGGTCTGGACAATATACACGCACATCCTGTCATTGACACCGGGTTTGATGATTATGTCCCGGATATCAATGATATTCTCGTGTTTAAAACGGGACTGTATTTTAATCTCGCGAAGTGTGTACTTATAAATTAACTGTCGATAGTCTAATACAATCCTCTTGATGGCCACCCTCTCATTGGTTTGATTGTCGTACGCGGAAACTACCGTTCCGTAGGAACCACCACCGATATACCCTAGGTCATTATATCTGGATTCCATATTGACAATTTGCTCACGTATCCACTGAGCCATTTATATTATTATTATTCAGTAGTTGCTATAAGTTTTCTTAATAATATATTGATACCGGTATTACGTTATATAAATTAATTTAAATGTTTGAGAAACAACCATGAACCATTATTTTGCTGCAATATTAATTAATGGTATACTGCAATATGAGTATATTATACAATTATTATCATTAACATCAATATAATAGTTTATAAAATATATAATACAATATACTTTATATTATATTTTGCTGATTTGATTTTTAGAATTTAAAACAAATGATTATTTATTAATTATTTTTCATATTAACAATCAATTTATGATTTACAAAAACTATTGTATAAACTAATAAATAAATACTTTAATAATTAATTAATTAATTCACTACTCTGATGTCACTATACATAGTGTTAGTATGATTATGTAGTTATAAATATTTGAAATAAAAAACTTTGTGCTATATTATTTAATATTCAAAATTACTTATTTAGTTTATTTATCGCATAAATGTTTTACTTAATGAATTGATTAGTAATTATCTTATTTTACTGTATTATCAATAACAATTTCACTGTTTGAATAATCAACTACAAATTGATAACGTGAATTCTTATTTGTATACTGTGTTTTTTATGTATTTTTGTATTTTAAATTATGTGTTATTTATCAGGAATTAATGTTGTTTAATTATCTTTAAAATTTTAAATTACTAAATTTAGTTTATCATTAAGTATGAGTATATTTTATTCCAATGTTACTTAATCGCTTTAATACTAAATACTAACAAATGTATAAACACCTCTACAGTTAAAAGTAATTCACAATACAATTAAGATTAAACAAGTCTAAGATAAATGATAAATCAAACCGGAAAATAGCTTACTCATATAAGTGATAAATATAATCATTAAAGCATAAATCAAAGTGCATTCAAATATTATTTAATTTTTGAACTTTATAATTATATTAATAATCAAAAATTAAAGCTATAAATAGGCAAATTTAATTTATTTTTATATTGGTATAAAACAAAATCTTATTTATGAATGTTTAATCAAAATACTGTATATACTATTTATAACTATTTTAATTAAAAAAGTTTTAGTTAAAAGCAAATTATTAAAAATTAACTAAATAAATAATTTGTTCCTGATGTTACCTGCCAAAATATTGATTATATAACTTGATCATCTAATATTTTATTTAATATTTTGAAACTTTAAGACATTAATATTTTAAATGTCTCAAATATCAAAATATCAATTCTTTTATGTGTTATATTTATGCAAAATTATAACTTCAAATTCGCCGCTCGAATAAATATTAGAAAGAACACTGTCATAATACAATACAGAATTGGCTAAGCTGGCACTCAAAATTTTTTGATTCGATATGAACGTCCATTCAATGCTGAGTGAGAATATGTAATTTATATTGTCCTGTGACCTCGGGATCGGCCGGAGTGACCACTTTTATTGGAAAATATTTTATATAAAATGTCAACATGTAATATATCAATTTTATAGAGAATTTTACGTAGAATACGATGATATTAATTAAATTAATAAATAACGTCATTTTAACCCAACAATTATTAAATAATCGCT